TTTTGTATTTTATAATTTATTTTTGTAGCTTACATTTTCTGTCAAAATGTAAGTCAGACATGAGACCCATTCACAATGAGACTGAGAACCACTTTTGGATAGCGACCAACTAGTTGAGAAAGCAGGGACTAAACGATTTTTTTAAACAGAGAAAAGGGTTAAAGTTTTTTTATGTTATACCCCAAACTTCCATCCATTTGAAGATAAATTAAAGCAGTTGGACTGGAATGACGTTGTGCATAATTAATTAATTAAGATATTATATATTATATATTATGATGTTGAAATGACTTTATGATGATCAGAGACTAAAAATGTATTTTGTACACTTGGATAATAATAATAAGCATCTTTGGAGGTTTATGTAACAGAACATTGAAGGCAACTCTTAAATTTGAAAAATAACCACATGATAGGAGAAAATTCATTGCAAATTAAAGAAGTAAATTATCTGAGATAGACCAAAGCTGATTATTTAACTAATATTAAAAATAAAAATGGAATAAATAACTAATTAATGAGTGTATGGGAAATTGTAAATTAATTAAGAAAAATATTAATACAATTACGAAGAAGGGGGGAAATTAGTTCAAATTGTGGACTATAAAGGAACATTCAAAAGTGAATTAATTCATTTTTTGTGGATTCAGTACAGTATTTGGCTAAGAAATGTGATGTATGGTCAAGAACTTCTGAACCTGCAAATAATTAATTTCCTGTTTTTCAAAATTGGAAATGTCTCAGAATCTGCAGTAATGAAAACACCCAATTCCTTACGTCTATGGATGTCTTTGATATGGATGCAAGATTTCTTTTTGAATTATAAATCGATAATATTTAAGCCTTTATCTCATCTTATGTATCTCAATAACAAACTTCTATTTTCCTTCTTCCTGTAAGGCTGCAGTAGTGACCCATGTCTTCAAATCAAGTGAAATAACTATCTAATAAATTACAGACACATTAATAGCTTCTAACATTGTAGCAAAGGTAGTCTGTGATTAGCTAGTCTATATTAATCATGACATTTTAATATAGGTGAACTATAAACAAATCCTTAAAGTAGGCTGAAAAAATTTATTAATTTTCTTTTTTCTGGAACTGATTTAGAGATTGTTGGTTGGTTTCTGTATTGAGCTTTACAGCTGCAGGGTTTGCAAAAGAGTTGTGTGGACTTCTGGTCAATGCATCTCATATTATTATAGTTCATTTAAACTAGATACTTTGTCATGTGGAATGGTATGCTCATTAAACTTTGACTGTAACTTTGTAACATAGTGTCACTGTGGTTTGGAGTTGAGTTTCCCCTGTTACTAACCAAACTAATCTAACTACATAGTATTCTCACCTTGTCCTGTCCTCTTTCCTTCTCATGCTATTGGAGCTGCATTATATATACACCAATCAGCCACAACATTATGACCACTGACAGGTGAACACTGACTATCTTGTTATCATGGGACCTGTTAGTGGGTGGGATATATTAGGCAGCAAGTGAAGAGTTTGTCCTCAAGTTTATGTGTTAGAAGCAGGAAAAATTGTCATAATGATCTATGTATATTTATATATATATATTTTTGGATTGAGTTCATACACCTCTAAGCTGGCACAAACCAGAACAGTTAAATGAGTTATAAGAGGCTGAGAGGGTCTTCACTCAGAGTAAGACACAGAGTCTGCTGTTGAAATCATTTGCAGGTATGTTGTAGCTGTTCTTGTTGATCTCATAGGGCTGGGTGATGTCCCAGGCAAAGGGAGCTATTGTGTCTAAGCCGTTGGGGTCTGGGGAAATGACTCCATCTGAGGATGTGTCTCTCCACTCAGTCTCCGTTCTCACATCAGGCTCTTTGTCAGGCTCTAAATGAAAGGGACATTTTTTAAGTTTTCAGATTTAATAAACCATTGTTCCCATACATACAACTCAAAAGTCTAATTAAGGACAAACATACACAGCAAGATAGATATTGCTTCAGAAAGTATTTCATTCACAAGTTTTGCAGCTAAACAGTATGCTGAAGTGATCCTCGTAATGGTGCAATGCCATGATGAGAATGATTAAGAAATATAGCGATATATGCTAGAAAGATAATCGTAGGAAAATGTACTACTAAACCAAGTAATAAAGAAATAAAATTCACATGTATCAAACGGTCCACTGTGGACACTGAGCTACATCACATGAACAAGGTACATATTTCATTTCATATGAAGGCTATGGGCTGATATTTGTGCCAG